AGATTCGGAAAGACCCCGATCGGCCTTTCTGTCGGAGGATTCTTCTTCATCAAGAAAAACTTTGTCATGAGAGTGAGTACCTCTTTCTGGTGTATTTCGTTAGACCCGAATTTAGTTTTTCACTGACAATGTGTGCCATGCGTTAGACACCCATTAAGATTTTTCCGAGTGTATTATTTAAATAATATTTAAATTTTAAATCTCAGTTTTAGCATCTGCATTTCATATTCTATGTTTTTGTAATTATAAATACTGGCTGGAATAAAAGACTTTCTTATTTTACAGATGTTAAGTGGATTTTATTCTATTTTGTCAACGTTACTGAAGCTCGGCAACGAGAAGAAAAGTGGATGCATCTCGACAGAAATCAACAAAACCGATTCCTACCGCATATTGTCAATCTTGGATAATTTTTAATTTCCTTTTCTATAAACTTCCCATCGTTAGAAACGAACCGATTTCCGCCACTACACCTATATTTTCCCACCGAAAAGGAGTTAAGAATGTTAAATCAAAAGGTTTCTATCCGGGTTAGGAGGACGTATTTCGAGAATGGCTCCTTGATAATATAGAAGAGTTTGTAAATGACATTAGTTCTATATCATTCATTACCACATAATTCCACAGTGAAGAATAGCGCAACCGGAATAAAACCCGCATTTGATGCATCGTCCAAGCAAAAGTGATTCCCTACTTTTAAGAAATATCTCGAAAAACAAATTAAATCTTGTCGAATTGATTCCGACGTCGTGTATCTCGGTAGGGTTGGACTTAATGACGATTTTACTCGTTATTACCAGTTACAATTCTTTTATAAAACCCATCCCTACTTTCAAAATTAAGCTTTCTTCCATGTTATAATAGTTAAAAATATAGAAAGATTTTTAATAAAATATAAGAAGAGATGGTGCCACTAAATGTTGCCGGGAAAGTTAAGCAACTCGTTTCTGGACTTTTTTGTCCCCGCTGTTTTGAAGACTTTTAATGCCAGACATCCCAGTACGATACAAATCTTCGTGTTCGACGGACCGAAGTTGAGAAAGGCCGCATCGTTTGGCCGAGGGAAGCGAGATGGCCTTTTCGCCGAATTGTTTTCCATCTGATTGTGAAGACATGTTGGGACAGTGAATACGTGAAGGGCCACATATATGCGGGCAGAGTCTGAACACTCCAGACACAAAATAGACGAGAAGAGATGACATAATCACGAACGGCTGTGGCGGCGTCTTTGCCCATTATCCAGACAGATGGAAGCCTGGCCACAGAACCTGTTTTCTCGTACTATCAACACCATAAAAAATTAGTGCTATGACAGAGAAACGTGAACTGCTACGAACTGGCAGCACGTTGTCTTTATCTTTAGCGACGAATCGACGTTTCTATATTGTTGTTAAGCTTCAGTTTTTTCTATTCTAGAAGATATATATAAGAGATAAGAAGAGATATATACATATTCTAGAAGATTCTACCATTGCTCCATTCAAGTCGAATCCTACTCAAATCGACTTAATTTACCAGAATATTCGAACATTCTAACTTTAACAAGATGGATTCTACCTCGTCTCTGTGATGATGAACGAAAGGCTACAGACAAAATGCAAAATAGTCTGTCGAGATCTGTCTATAGAAGTGCTTCTTAAACTTTTTTTATTCACGACCCCATTTATGATTGTGATTTTTTTCGTGACCCAAAAAAATATAAAATGAAGATATATACAAATTTGCAAAAACAATAATTGTGTACTACCACAGTTCACTCTTGTGTTACAATGGAACAGAGACAACTAAATACACTGAAAAGAGACAACTAAATACACTGAAAAGCGACAACACTACACTAGTTCACACTACATTGTTGCCGAATCGTTGTCTCGCTGCACCAGAAGTGACATAAAGCGCAACTCACGAAACCTATGACACAAAGCGTGCCATTTTCAAACTCTCACAAATTATTTTCAATATTTTGCCTTAAATTCTCGCGACCCCAAATGGAGTCGCGAACCATAGTTTAAGGAGCCCTGGTATATAGAAAGACCGACACGGAAACCCCGAAATTCTGTCAAAAAATCTAAATTTTTAACATTAAACCGAGTCGCCACGCGACAATAAAATTTCGACAATTGTCTTCTGTTTTGTTTGAATGCGATTCGGTTAATTGTTTCGAGTGTTTTCTGAGTTTTGCTCTAGTTGCACCGATTATTTGGGTAAGTTTAGTCCCTGATCATTCTAGATTTACGTATTTTTATGGAATTAGTCGATCGGGTCGGGCAGGAACTACACGCGCACCTTTCTGTCGCGTATTATATTGTTCGGTGGTTCATTAAGTGTGTGTTCAATTCGGTGAAATTAGTTAAGTTTGTATTTTTTTGTAACCTGCATCAACCTGGCGAGTAAATAAACTTATTGTATCTTTGGTTTATTTAAATTAAATTGCGTTTTGTTTGTCTACTTCTCGCCCGTTGGTCTAACAACGCTAACTCCAATCCGATGCTACACATACGAGGTTTGTTCAAAAAGTATCGGACTTATATTTAATTTTAATTTAACTGTTCTTTGTCTCGACAGATGGCGCGATCGATCTTTTCCATAGCGCCATCTGTCGAGACAAAGAAGAGTTAAATTAAATGGAAGACTTAAATTAATTTATTATATACAGTATATGGAAAAAAATGAAGACGAAGACAAGAAAAAAAAAGAGAGCAGAACTAGGTCCAACTGTATTGGAATGGTACCGACACGCCCCCTATTCACAGATGCTGTCCCACTACTGCACGACGCGGGAGCTTTTGCCTGCTGCGTTTCCGCCCTGGGCCAGTTCGCTCCTCCTTAGACAACCTGGTTAACCTGGGCTCCCCCAGGGCCACCATATCGACGTCGTTCATAGTCGCGGACATCCGCTCGACATAGGTAAACGTGAAGGTCTTCACCCGTCCTCAAGCCGTTCTCTAGTTCTGGCCTCCAAAGTGGCTGGATTACAGGAACACGCCATTGCTCCCGGCCGGCAGTATCGCTTGGAAACTTCTATAAGTACCTAGCTTCCACTTTTTTCTATCTCCCCTTCCGTTTTCGACTTGAAAATTAATTTATTAAATTTTCTGGAACGTATGGATCGACGGTGCTTCTTATTTTCTCGTATCCGATTTTTTTATTAATCGAATTTAGTTATTGCTAGCGATGGGAGATGGCGCTGCATACTTTCTTGTCAAGCGCTAACTTTACTTGTTTTTCGGCGATCGATAGATTCCTGTATCTGACACGAAATTTAGCTTTTTTTTTGTATTCTGCCCTCTAGTGACGAAGTCAAACTTATCTCATACGAAATAAAAAAATTAATATCTTTTCAAGTTCTGTATTTATGTTTTATGTTTATTAGCAAAATAAATCACCAAAAAATTTTGAAATTAATTTATTCAATTAAAGAAATTTAATCATGGTGTCAATGGTAACATCTCAGCTAATAAACTTTATGACTGGAATTAGATAATTATTCTCGCTTTAATTTATGCAATGATTTCTCTTTGGTGTTGAAAATAATAAAAATAACATTTGAAAAAATTATATACAGTAGAGCCTCGATTATCCGACCCCCTATCAACCGACCCCTCGTTTAACCGACCGTCCTAGTCGGCAAATTTCAAATGTCCGCTATTGATGTGGCGCTACAATATTTGGCTATGTCTTGGCTACTTTAATATTATTTTTACGTGTTTTAGCTGGCAACACTGGATCGACCATAAAAGGGAGCCAGTATTTAAACGAAGCTTAACTTTCTAATTTTTAACGATACAATAGCGATGATTATTATTTTTAAAAATTTTTGTTAGGCTTAACATCGATGAAAATTCAACGCAAAGTAGGTTAATAGCGATATACTAATATACTAATTACATGGGATATAATAATATACTACACTAATAATGGATTTTTTCATACTTTTCGATTATCCGCCCTTTCAATTATCCCACCAACCCCAGTCCCCAATTAGTTCGGATAATCGAGGCTCTACTGTAAATGATTCTTATATAGAATTTACGCTAATTTTAACTGACCTTATTGTGAGTTTTCGTAAATTTTTTTGTCAAAATTCGCCGATATCGATCAAACTTGATGTCAAATGTTGGGCAAAACTTTGCAAATCTGTTTTTTTCGAATGTATTAAATGATGTCAGAATGAATATTATTTGATGTTCTTGAAGATTAAAACAGCAACTATAGTCGTCCTTCGTCATAGGTCCATATCCCACGATTATATTGTATTTGGAATTAATCTAAATATAAAGAAATTTTAACTAAAAAAATAAGCAAATCGCGACTTTTAACATAAATTTACATGCTTAATGCAGAGGTGTCTCCTATATATATATATATTTGTTTTTTTTATCTCTTTTTCCTTTAGGTACTAGAACCTTTCTAGCATTCCCTTTGTGGATTTTACTACGCACACAACAAGGTGGGCTGTGAGGGACAAGACCTAACATATCACGAAGAACCACCTGGGAACATTTGGGAGGGAGAAGTCTGTAGGAACATTTGGGAGGTAGAAGAGTCTCTAACTCTACCACGAAGAGGACGAAGTGGCCATTTATCGTACAAGTGGATATTTTCCGATTGTAAGAACTCTTTCGTTTCATTTTTTAACACGTCTTATTCTCGTATCGTAATTTACTGTTTTTTCTGTTTATAGACATGCCGAAGATGTTCTTCGATCACATACACATGCACGGACATAACATTACTGTACACGAAGGTATACACCGTTAAACCTAATTTGTTAATTTGAGTATAAGGTTCAGAAAATATAGAAAGAAATCTTAAACAGGTATGAACACGAAGATAACTTCGCCATTGTAGAAAGGATCGTGCACACCTATACATATTCGCACCTCTTATCGTAATGTGCATTAAATGTTTTCATCTTTAAAAATCTCAAAAATAATAACGAATATTAAATAATTTATTCATTAAGTATATAAAACAATTTCTGAAATTATATAGGTAGTAATTTGCATAATACCTTGCCCGTCACTCCGCTATTTATCTGCGAGTTTCGCTACTGTTTCCTTTGTTAAATTCAAAGTTTTCTTTTACGAATTTGTTCATTTAGAATATTTTAACAATGTTTGGTTGGAGTGACCTTATCATTTCACTGTTAAATGTGTGGTACGTTGTCTTATTTAATGGATGTTCTCTAGAAGACAATGTAAGTAGTCTATTATCACGATAAAATGAATGTTTTTCTATTAATTTAAATATTACATAAATACATTAACGTTAAGAATCAAACCAGTTAAGTAATGAACTTAATTTGCTTATACTTTAACACTGAAAAGTATAAACTGTACTACACTTATAGTATATGAATTTATTAATTAGCACCTTTTTATATTGTCCATGGTTTCCTAGAACATTGAAGATTAATGTTATTTTTCAGTTATTAATCGGCATGTCTCTCAACTTCTTCACCATTTCCATGATTTTAACAATGAAGTACATTTATGCACCTCTAAATACATTCGCAACGTTCAGATTTCTTCTCTTGATTACGTTAGCGACGATAATTTTGTGGATTTCGGAAGTAATCAGAAGTCTGAAGTAAGTGTTTAGCCCGTTAATAACAAATATTATATATTTTTCACGTAATATATTTAAATTTCTGTATTTTAGAATAAAAATATTCAATGTGGAGCGAAGGAATTGGACCAAACGTTTCGACGCCTGTTGGGTATTCGTCGAAAGTGTTATCTTTTCCGTCATTTTAAAGTGGGTAGATACTTACGTAGTGAATTATTCGACACAACGTAACAGAATAGAACACCCTTTTATATATTTATAATATTATACAGAGGATGTTGAAGAAGATTCATTAATTAATCGATCATCTTCTGGTATTCAGAAGAGAGATTTTACTCGCTCTGTAAACTTTTAATCGCGATTTGTATGTTTGCATATTGCTATAATTCATATTTTAATCAATTTTCTAATGTAGACAAGACATTTTTTGTGATTTTTAAAAACTTTAATTAAAATTTCTTCCTTTTTATTTTGTCTTTTTAGTTTCTTATTGAAATATCTGTATTTTACCCGAAGACTTTAACAATAAATGATCATTGATTTTTTTTTCCATCGGATAATCTGTCTAAAAACTTATTTATTTCTAAATGACTTACTGCGAGTCTCCATAAAGTAATAGTATTCATTTTTTTAAGTTAATAATCCAAATATTTATTTGTTAAACTATTTAACAAGTAATTCACAGGAGAAACCTGTGAATTATTTCTTCGCGAGATATTCGCATGTAAAGGCCAGTTTTTAATGTGTATCTTTGCCTTTTTTGCTGCTATGAGTGTGCTCTTTAGCTCTGATAAGGGCCAAACCGTCTCATTCGGAGCTTGAATTGTACACGGAATTGAAGTAGATAAAAGGTAAAGTATATTTTTATTGTAAATATTTAATGGATTCTACGTATTTTCGGAAAAGCCAACACTTTTAGAAAGGAACGGACGAAAAGGGTGACGAACGTTCGGGTGTTTTCTTCGTGTTGGTTCTACAACGTTCCATTTGAATATTATTACAGGATTCACACTTGACAAGGACTGTTCTCTTGCAAATTCCGTAGTCGTAAGTTCAATAGATCCAGCAATTTAAAACTATAGCAAATGCAATATCGAATTGCGCTGCAATTAGCCAGGCAGAAGATTGGTAAAGTATATTGTTTACGGTAACTGTTCAATGGTACGAAAGACGTTTTCGGTAAGCCTAGAAGTTTGACAACGGCGTTTGGAACGTCGGTGGAATCATGCTCGACGTTCCAAACGCCATTGTCGAACTTCTAGGCTTACAGGATGGCGGCGCTAAACGTCCGACGTTCACGTTTATGCGTTGAAAACGTCGGCCGCAACCTCTCTATTCTTCTGCTTATGCCTGTAGAATTCCGGCTGCTACCTAGTTAATATAGCAGCGATGGGTACTGTACGACAACTCCTTTAAGAACAAATGTCACTCAATGCGTACGCTCGACGTTGGCGACGTTTCAAACGAAACTAATTCACGAAGGAAAGCGATAGTTCGGCGATATCGATGTTTCTAAATCTATTCGAGTGTTTAAATTGTGGATTAAAAAGTAAAATAATACGAATAACTGTCCACACCGAAACAATCTATGAAAAATATTTCGGACTAGCAACATTTTTAACTTGGATTTTGAAGCGGCCATTTTCTTATAGGTCTAAACGAATCGTTCGAATTGTATAACGAAAGTGAGAATAACGACGACGTTAAAGAAGATTTTACATGTAATTTATTTTTTATTTTATTTTTTTTTTCAAAAAGGTGACGGTAGGCCAATAAAAGTTGGAAACCTATGATCTTAAAAATCGGGGCGTAGTTCTTCGTCGTCCCGCCGGGAGCGCACGAGTCGAGAGGAGTTCGCGGGACGATTTCCGCTTCCGGTCGGAGAGCCGGCGTGATGGAGTGTCGGACGCTTCATTCCGCTTCCTTCACCGGATCGGTCTGTCATCCCGGTTGTGTCGACTGGTCCGACGACAACAAATTAGTGGTATGCGTGGAAAAAGGCGTCTACGTCATGGTATGTCCGGTCTCTTACTTCGTAACGTCGTCCACCCTCTATAACTCAATGTAAATAAACCCGTCGAAAGGTCGCGTGTGTTTGGTCATCGCCATCTAAAAACTTTTTCTTCATATTTTCCACGTCTGGGCCGTTTAGTCCGGAGACTTATCGCTAAATCGTGTTGTCTGGTCGAAATTTATCCGTTTAATAATAATGGCATCAGGTGTATGTCCAGAGAGGTAAAATAACGGTGCATTGCAATACGAGTTTTGCCACACTCGGATGCGGGAAGTCTCCTCCTGGATTTCCACGCCAGCCCGCCTTGCCTTTCGAACGGATGCGCGTCTTTGCCGGGTCCGGGTGGCTTCGATTGACTTTCGAACGAGATCCGTGGTACCGATTTGTCAGTTTCGTTGTTTCCGGATCCGTACCGTCGACGGCCGTCTCCGAAACGTTTGTTAGTCTTTGTGGGTTTGCCACGATTGGAGACCCGTGTTGAGATTTTGGCTTTGACTCCCTCGCTGTTAAATCTGCGGGTTACAGAATTGTCGACTCGTCCGATCTATTTGTTCGGGTAAAAGTTAAAAATCCTGACGGATGCCTTTCTTTGTATTAAAAGATTTTGTCTTCCTTTCTCGGTTTGATGCGGGTGGAAGAAAAACTATGTCGAGACGTTAAATGATCGACAAATTTATAGCTTGATCCGTTCTGTGATGTGTGCCGTAAAAGATCTCTGTTCGAAGAACCTGTCTAGAGCCGGATGTGGATTCGTGGAGAAGGCGTGGACTTTGCCATGCTTCCCATTTTTTGAACATTAGTGGAGAGTCTAATGTGTTGTTTGAAGTCAAAAAATCTTTACAAACGACTGAATTCGAAATACAATAATAATTTTGTGGAAAATTACGTGATCCCTTTTTAAAAATAGAAGATATTTTATCTGTACATTGATCGTTCGGAGATCTTTGTTTGACTAATTAATGTGACAAATTGGGAATAAAATTATAAAATTCTATTGGAATATGATCTATTTCAGAAACCTTATTACGCATTGTCTCCTCGAATGCATTCCTGATTCCGTGCTTGTCAGAATCAGGAAATGAGTCCTTCCGGGAATTATTTACTTTGATACGTGGTCGATGCTAGTTATTTGTTAGTGTTTCCTCGTCAATTGTAAAATTATAACTTAATTAGCTAATGTTAGTGCATGTTATATTTTAATGCAATGCAAAATTTAATTATTTTGCTTAATAGCAAATGATTTTTTTATTTTCATTATTGCTAACATACAGTTTTATGTTAAATTGTCATTCGTGGCATTCGACAAACCTTCAAGAACCTCACCCTGTAATGAATAAATAAATATAAAATTTTGTTTCTGTTGCAGAGTGCAAATCATGTACCATTTGAATCCGACTGCCCCTTGGCATTTCACCAGCAGGGAATTTCCATTTTTCAGGAGACATTGAACTTTGATGTTAAAGTCGACAGAGCATCGCTGCATTCAAAATTATCCATGGGTAGTTTTTTTTTTAAATAATTCTAAAAAATAAAATGAATTGGCAATTTTCTTATTTTTTTTTTTGTAGAGGATGAACATTCGATGATGCTGGATCACACACTTAGCCCCTTGACTGCCAATGCGTCTCTCTTTCTCACCTTCAAGACTGCCCGTTGGTCGCCCGTCGGCATTATCGACGAAGGCTGGTAAGTAATGAATAAAGATGTCTCTAAATAATGCAAAATGATTAAAAGCATTATCAGAACTTTTTTTTGTATTTGTTTCTATCATTAAATTCCGGTATATGCCAATTAAAATCAATGTACTTATCGGTATTCTGTAAATCAAAGTACTTATTGTTGTTTTTAAGCTAAGTCTGTGTATTTTAGTTTTATAGCTATGAGTTTATTAACTAAATATGGGAATATTTTGGTAAAATTACTGACAACATTTATTATTGTTTATCTTGTTTTTTAATGCAAAAGAGAGAGAATAAATTCTAGTTTATTTAAAAAACAAAATTCCTTCTTTATCCATTTAACCAACATTGAAAAGATTGTGGATTATTTGCCTAAGTGAAACCCTAAATTTTCTCCTCTACCCAAAATGAAGTGAATAAAGCTCAAATTTTTAACTTTTTTTCTTATTTGTCCATTTGTTTGTTTGCGTAATTTCACATTTATCTACTTGTAACTTGGATAAAGTGCACCTTATAAAGAAAACACACCTTTTGATTTCCAGCAGTATATTTTAATATAATAAAAACCTTTTAAACCTATTCTTAACACAGCGTTTTACTAAGATTAAAAGTTATATGATATTTAGATTTTTTTTATTGTATGAAGTAAGTTATCTTAGTTTAATTGTATATCAAACACACCTTATTACCGAGAGATTTTGTTTATTACATTGAACGTGTGTTTGATATAAAATATGCGAAGAATTTGAGTACGGATTAAAGTTTATCTTAGTTTAATGTAATTAATCTATGAAGTAACTAAAATGCTTTTCTAAAACAATTTTTTAGTTGTATTTTAGCAGTTTTAACCATGGACCACCGGTTAATATTGTATAGAGAAGTCGGAAATAAATGGACATGTTTGATAGATTTGTCAACAAAATTTTATAATCAACATAAAGAAATTTGGGAGAAAGATAAACAAGAAGAAAATGCAGAGACGAGAGACATATCGTTCATGTTCCAACAGATGAAAGAAAGGACATATAAACTTGCTGCTATAAGTATGTCGTTTAATTGATTTAAAATTTTTATAACAATGAACATTCTTAAATCTGATTTACTATAAGATATATGAGGGGCATCCAGAAAATAAAGAATGTTTGTGTGTACCACTCTGAGCGGGTAAATTATCTCTATCGATTTAAGATCAATTTTTTCTCTGATATGTTAGCTTAGCATGTATAGAGTTTTGATAATAAGCTTATTGTTACTTTTTTGTAAAGGGTTAAAATGTGTACAAAAATCAAAATCCTATTAAGTGCAAAGTGTTATTTGGTTTCTAAACAATCATATAGAAATTCATAAACAAATCATGGAAGTGTATGGTGATCACATTATAAACAAAGCAAGTGTGAGAAAATGGTGTTTAATGCTTAATCAAGGCTTAATGTGTAACCTTACTCTACTTCAGTCACTCAAGCTATGCTTCGGAAATTTGGCTGGGATGTTTTTGATCATCCACATTACAGTTCTGCCTGACTTCTAGTGATTTTCACTTCTTTTCCAAGCTGAAAGAGTTTTTGGATGGATTTGGAACATTTTGAAACAGATGACAAGGTGAAAGAAGCTGCCACTAACTAGCTGAAAGAACTGGCAGTGGAAGTCTATGACAAAGGAATTTAAAAACTAGTGTTGCATTACGACAGCTGTTTTAGCCATAATGCTGATTATGTAGAAAAGGTCTTGTACTAATTACTTAATAAAACTCTTTTCCTATCATTGCTGTTTTTTCCTTTTCTCACAATCAAACCTTCTTTATTTTCTGGATGCCCCTCATACATATATGAGCTGCTTGGGGAACATAATGGTAAGCATCATTTCCATCTATTGCTATTGCCATCATCCTGGTGTGATCATTTAGTTCTTTTTCAATTATGCCATTATGAAACTAGATTAATTACGAAACACTTCCAGTAAAAGATTGATTTTAGAATATATTTATTCAGATTTATGGTTCGATCACAATTGTATTTTTGCTGCATTCTAAAATTTCCATTTTGGCATTTATCATGTTGTTCTCTCATTATTTTATCATACAAGTTGCTAGATAATACCTTCAGAAAGGCTAGTATATTACGGAACAAGTAACTAGTGTATAAATGCAATAATACATTTTACAGCTGATTGTGTAATGAAAAAGACTTAGTCAATCCTACCACAGTCTCAGGAGTGTATGAAATACCCTTCACTCTAGTATAAACAAACATAGTATTAAGGATTCATGTATTAACCATAAGAAGCCTCTTGCTTATCCACAGCATGGAAGTATGTTATAAATGATGAGGTTAAAATCATGTACTAATTACTAATATATATTAGTCATGAAAACTTTTTTTATACACTTGACTGAACAATTTTATTTTTATATAATATGACCACTTATAAAAACACAGTATACTTATTTGTTTTAAATCACTTATTTATAATGCAAATAACTGAATATATAAGTTCTAACATGCAAAATTAATTTCAGCCATGACGTGGACTCAGAAATTTAGTTCCATTGCCGCTTCTACCAGTGACGAAAATATAACATTTTGCTTTTTGATTGTTGCGATGAAAAGCGGTCATATAATATTTTGGAAAGTAGTAAGTGTCGAAATGTAAGTAAATTTTTTCATTTTTGCATGAACACTTTATTTTATTTATTCTGTATTTAATACTTACATTTTGATGACAATAAAAGATGCCTCCTCAAAAATATATCCATATTAAAATTACAAGCACAGGGAAAAAGTAATAACAACAATAAACTATATAAGAATACAAAAGACTGAAGGTTATGTGACAAACAAAAACCATCATAAAAAAAATATCTTACAGCAGAATGAACAATATATTTATAAAAGTAAAAAAATGGTAAAACAATAAACTTATAAATAAAACATCATAAGAACCAAAGAAAAAGTCCACAAAACCATACACTTAGTATGGTGTTTATCCAATTTTAATAATAAATTTCTTAACTGGAATAAATTAAATTTAAAAGAGTTTCTAACATGTCCCATAACGTTTTTGGCTATCTAAGCAGCCATAATCAGAATTGAACATGCAATAGGTTCTATTCCATGTTCGATCCTCATAATAGCTGTTAAAGCATCATGCCACACCTCATTGCCAAGTTCTTTAGTAATTTATTAATGTGTAGATTAAAAGGAAATTAACTGTCGAAAATCAAACCAGGATCATTTATAAAATTAATACATTTGATATCAATGGATATGGAACTGAATTGGGAGATCTCAATGAAGAAAAACATAGAACCTTTGTCTTAAGTTTAGAATGGAACGTGGTTAACTTGAAGTCACGTTTTCTTTCCTCAATTGTCCAGTATAAGGATTTACATGTTAAGTCAAACTGGCTAATTGGAATGGGATTTTGATACAGTATTTTCATAAACTCTCTAGAATTTTAATTTTTCATTAAATAAAATAATTAACATTCATATATAAAAAAAAACTAATTAGAAACTTTCTATAAAGAAAAGGAATCATGTATGATTAAAAATAAACTTTGTGTCACTTGATGGCGGGGGTGACGGCTTCCAACAGCATGTGTAACCTAGATACTGTAACTGCCATTTAAACCTGCTTTTTTCCAAACGTTTTGTTTTGTTGATGGCTGATGGATTTCTCTGACTAGCTGGCATAAATAAATGTATTTTTGACTAATAGTTTTTTTAAAATTAAATTTAGTCCAATTCTATGTAAAAATTTTAACATTTACAGCAAAATTTTAAAAATATAATAATTGTAAAGGGTGATTTTTGTGATAAAAAAAATAATAAACTGATCAATACTAGAAGCACAGTATCACAATTAAAAATATCCTTACTAAATATTTAGGACTGAACAGATTAACGATTTAGGAAATCATTTCTCAGTAGCTTATTTAATCATTTGGTTAAGCATTTTTAAGTTAATCAGGTTTCATTATTTAATATTATGTGTTAGAAAATAAATTAATTTTTTTTTAAATATATGTAGTAGAGCATTTACATTTTCCTGTAATACTATTAGATTTATTGTTTATAATTTTAATATCATATGCATATTAAATAACAGAAGATTTTATTTTTGTAAATATATGATCAGTATAGCAATTAAACTGTGGATTATCCAAAATAGACTCCTGTTGGATTCTGTGTTCAGAGCTTCTTATCCTTTTATTGAATTGTTGTAACTTGTTAAATTTTTCAAGTTAACAAATATTGGACTTATCATACAGGAAAAGGTTTTAGAAGAGTAAATTAATCACTTTGAATTGTTTTTTTGGAAGCATTTTAGTTCTGAACTCCTCTGTTAATTGCTGAAGAGAGGAAATGCATCCAAAAACAAAAAAATAATTTAGAGTGATTAATTTTACTCTTTTAAAATCTTTTCCTGTATGATAAGTCCAATATTTGTTAACTTAACAACTTAAGAAGTACAACAACTGATGAATACTGTTGAAAAGAACAAAATGCATAAATTGATACTTTTCCACAGATAACAAATAACATTTTATTTTTCAAGTTTGGAAACCCAGTGGTTTCCAAACTTTCTGTACCACCGCCCCCTTTTTATCAGAAAAAATTGTTTTGTAACAATCTAATTTCATAAATACTGTCCTTATAATTTATTTAACGGCTTACAAAACAATATCCTTTATTAAATAAACTATATTGTGTATTTAATAAAGTCACTGGGGCTCAACTCTTGTCAAGACATTTTGGCAAGAGTGTGGATAGATTTTTAGCATTTGTATCCAAGTTGTTCAGACAAGGGTGTGAATTAGACATAATGATTCTGCTGATTCAGTTTTTCAACATTGATTTGACTTTTTTTTTTGTTTGTTTGTATTAAAAAATTATTTTAATTTGGTGAAAGCTGCACGTTCCCTTTGCAATAGTCTTGTGCCCCACCTATCCATTATCATAGGGTCAACATCAAACTCTGTACTTAAAGTAACCAGAAGACTAAATGGAATAACAGAGATGTAGGCTTGTATTATGTTAATATCTGCAGTGTGATCAAAAAGTTGCACACATCAAAATATTAGTTTGTGTAAATTGTGTCAAGTTATTTTTATTGTCTCTCACCACAAGATGACACTGTGGTAACTTCTGACTATTAAGAGAAATTCAGTGAAAGTCATAAAAGTTGCTGCAATGTATCTTTGTTTATTGAGAAAATGAAATGTTTTTCCCAGCAACAATGAATATTCATTGTTGAGTATTATTTTACCAGTTGTTCTTACGCACACGTTGCAGACAAATGTCATCAGAAATATCACCAGTTCTTGTGAGAATTCTTGGTGTTATTTATAAAGGATTGTTACCCCAAAGTTTTCCCCTGAGAGTATTTCAAAGTGAGTTGTGCATAAAAAATAACTTGCACACAATGAACAAAAGAGGAACATTGTAATAGCAATTGCCAGCATCAATTGTCAGGTGCTTCACAAGATGGCATAAAAATGGTAAAAAAGAGCTTATGCCTGCACTTGTGAACAAGGCTGTTTTGAACATATGTTATAATAATATGATTTGATTTTGCTTTTCATAAAAATCAGATTATAAATTATGTTTCTGTTACTTTCTGTATTTTCATATATTAATCTCACAAAATAAAATTGATTTCTAACAAATATGTGCATGACTTTTTTATCACCATGCGTATAATATATGTAAATCTGACCTCAGAATTCTTTACAATAAAATATTGAGTCTGCAATAGAATAATTATAGCAGATAAATTAGTAATACCACAATGGTAAAAACTATACTTGCTCTATTCCTTTCTATGTTTTTACCTGAATATGGTTATGTATTATCTTTGAAAATACTTGTAAATATATCTGTTTTTAAATTTAATATTTTCTTTATTTAATCTCCTTTAATGCCAAAAAGAGTTTCTTTTTACTCCTATTGAATTATTTTGATGTGTCTTAATTTATATTACATTTTAATTGGTGGTTTTATATGACAAGCAAATTTCTTGATTTTATATTAACTGTATACCAGAAATAAGTGTATTAGTGTTCACACTTGTCAGAGATAAGTATATTTCATAAATTATTTTCACATAATGATATCCAAATTCAAAATAAAATATTTCATTTAATTAATTAAGCATTTCTGTTTGTTACACTCAAGCTTTTTCCAGATGTTTAGAAAGAACAATTGAATTTTATTACATTGAGCAGCTTTAAATTTCAAATTTATTATTACAAATTAGATTTATATATTCATTTGTATTTAATCCTCTAATGGTTGGTATTAAATATAAAAAATGTAGAGAGAAAGAATTAATATAAATTATTCCAAACACATGAAATTTTGGTTGATGACCTATTTCAAGCCCTTTAATTTTATTTTAATTAAAACATTTCCAGCTGAGAATAGAATGATTAGGTTGGAAAGTGCATGCATTATAATTATACTGTTCCAATTTAATCATTATACTATTCCAGTTATCATTAATCTTGCAGTGATGAAACAGAGTAAGAGATCATTCAAAAATATATGTGTTCTATTTAACTCGATCTCTGACTCTTGTTTCATCACTTAATTTACAAGGTGTGCTAAGTCTGTGCAATCAGCCAAATTTGGGCTACATCAGGGAGGTCTTGGCCTCACAATACATGTTCTGAATGTTTTTGATAATGTAATTCAGAATTTTCTTTCTATTTAGTACCCACCAGAAAACTTTCATGGTGCACTGTCATGGGCTTTTTCCAAGTTCCTAAATGCTAAACAAAGCTGGCTCATGACTTCAGTTGCTGACCTTTCTGCATCAAATCTATATTAATAATAATGTTTCAAAAAACTTAAACAATCCTTTAGTTTGTTATATACATTTAAATATATTTGCAGGATAGAAGTGGCTGCAGAATGGGACAGCAAACTTGGTTATATAAGTAGCCTCTGTTGGCAGCAGACACATCACAATTCAGGTATTTTGTAGTTTTTTTGTATAGTGGGGAATTTAATGGCTGCTAGTAATGCTGGAGCATCAGGTTCTGATTAAAGAGACCCCATTTCAATTTATAGTTTATAAATTATATAATTTACTTTACTATATTTTTACCACTATATGATAGTAAATGTTATCTATTATAAGATTTTTTATTTATTTTTTGAAATACTTTCCAGATCTGTAGATTTATATTTTACTTTCCACTGTGTTCAATTTTTTTCAATCAGAACATAAATTTAGATTTTATTAAAATTTTAATATTACTTTTTTATTATCACCAAAGAAAAATTATTGCCATAGAAATAATATGTATATTTCTGGCCTGTTGGCGTTTCATATCAACAATCATACATGAACTCTTCTTTAATTATAATTTCCTCTGAAAGAAAAAAAAAACTGTACCACGACATAAAGAACTTTTGAAATTTCTTACAATAGTATAGTTGAATAAATAAGTTACTTTTTAGTTTCTATGTTTTGCATTAATGTTTTTTTTTTCCTTCTTTGTTAATTTTTAGGACTTTTAATTCTTGGTGCAAACAGTGGCCGTATTGTGCTTCTTCCTGTTTGGATAACTGCCGAAGGTGGAGAACTACAATTTGGAGAAAATGTTGCTATTTGGAAAGATGAAGATTTAATTTCTGTCAATCAAATAGTAGTAATGAAAGTAATTATTATTTTTTTAATTGCATATTTATTCTTAATATCCAGAATGATTCAAAAGTAACTTTATAACTTTGAATGAATGCCTATTTTTTGAATAAGTATTAGTTAACATTTTAAAACATAATACTGTAACAGTTTTATTTGTTTCCATTGTAATATAGCATCATTAGTGGGGCTAACGTACAGTTGAAAACGTTATGACAGATTTCTCTTCTGCAGTGAGAATTTGTTATGGAATGATGTTCAAATAAGTTTGTTCTTGAGTTCGAACAGTACTTATACGTCGCGCATGCCGTTCGAATTTAACTTATTTGAACATCATTCGTTAATGGCTTTCATTAACGGCATTCGTTAAATTAGAATTTGTTATATTTGGTGGTTTAAAGAAACCAAATTGAAAACACAAGAAAAGATATTGTATAGTCCCAAGGATTACTTTTATATTTAAATAATAATGACATTACAAACAATTGATACAATTTATGTAATTATGTAAATATTTTCTACTTTCCGAATTTTCACCAAAGAATTCCAGTGTGATTTTTTTCATTGTTTAAATACAACTCTGACCTGACTGATATTGTGAAAACTTTTAGTGTGTAGTTGTCACTGGATCATACAATAAAAGGTCTGCATTAGTTGTATTAAGTACATGTTTTTAATGTCATATCAGTTAAAGTTTAATGAAGAATTGTATTTATCTTCAGGTTGTATACCATCTGTCTATGGCTGGATTTTAAAAATGGATAAAAGATTTAAATTGATTCAAAATTGTTTGTATGGTCATTATTATTTATCATATGCATAATTGCAGAAGTTATACAAAGCATCTAGGAAGAAATTGATTTCCAATAAGAAGTTTATCATTTAACAAATAATCATTACAATCATACCTTAAATCACTGAGAAAAGATTTATTCAATGAACGTTTTCAACCTGTTCGACAGGCCATCGTCGAATTTAAAACCTGATGATGGATCGTCGAGCAGGTTGAAAACGTTCATTGCAAGTGATCTGAAGTACTTTGGAATGAGATGGAATTGATATGTTCCATCTGTAATATTGGTGATTTGAGAAACAGAAATTTTTGAAATATATAAGTCTACCTTAAAATGAAATTGCATTAATTCTGAGGAATTGAATACTGTATCTACAGTATTCGACAACCATTTATGAAAAGTATGATAGGGCAGAAATCTGATTATTTATTTTATTTTTTTAATGTGTTTTTCAATATTAGAATTCTTTGATACTTTAAATATAGATGCTAACCAAATAAATAATATTTAAAATTGATAATGTTCCAATTTGTAGTTTAATTTTATTTGTTTTACTTTTCATTCAAAGGAGCACCCAAAGAAAATCTATTAACAAGACTTAAAATGCAATGTAATCAAATAATTTATTACTACACTTGTAAAGGTTGTTGTTAGTTTGATCAATACAGTCGACCCCCTATAACACTGTTGATTTTTCCGTTTTATATGAATTCCATGTTGTACGAGTCACTTAGATTTTACAAATGCATGAGCCATTCACAGCCTGGCACATGTATTTGTAAAATCTAAGTGACTTGTACAACATGGAATTCATATAAAATGGAAAAATCAACAGTGTTATAGGGGAGTCGACTATTTCCAGTTATCATTAACAACTTAATATTGTTGTGCAAGAGAAACTTGGCTCAGATTTAATACTTTACAAGTTTACTTTTTACAATATGTTTCATATTACTTTTTAACTTGTCATATTTAATGCTTTGATTTGATTTGTAGAATTGAGGTAATAGTGTATTATGCACTATGTGATTAGCCTCTTTTGTCTAATTCTATTGAGCCCAACTTGCAGTTTAGTTACATATTGTAGCATGGATGGAGAATGGAGTGACAGTCCAAACTGCTCATGATAAATTATGAGAATTTAAATAGATTTGAATTGATTCTATGTGAATATGATGGCAAAGTCTGTTGTCATCTCACTAAACAATCATTTTATATTATTAAAAATAAATATTTTTGTGAGTGTATGTGGATTATTAAAGATATAATAAATTGTGATAATTGGCTTAAATATTAAATTGTATTATTATTATTATTTTGCAGCAGACTGACTCACATTACATTGTTGTAGCTACAAAAGATACTTACTTAATATCGTGTGAAGTAATAATTCAAGAGGCAGATGTGATCATTAGAAAAATTGGACATACCAAGGGGCATTATAGTTTATCTGCTACAGGTAACCTTAAATCTGCATTATGTATATATAATATAATTCTAAAGAAGAATGAATATATTTAGATTGCTATATTTTATATGCTGTTTGTATCAAAAATTTGGGAAACTTTAGGAATTTTGGTAACTAAGGAAATTTTTAGCATACAAAATTCAGTTCTGAAACATTAATAAACTTTGATTGTCATCATCACAGTTGATAACTATGATATAAGAAAATGTTTACAACAATTTTTATGTAATTTTCTTATTCAAAAAGTGTTGACAATATTTAATAACTTGTATAATTAATTTATGCATAATTGAAAATATATTTTCTGGAACATACAGAGATAGGATTACACAAGATTGAACTTGTTATATTTCAGAAATGTAACTGATACTGAACCAATACCAATATATAGGTTTATTGGAATGTTCCCAATGTATTGGAATTAGTTCATCTTACAAACTGATATCTGATAATCTTTTCTTCTTTTTTTCAATTGTTAGAGATGGTAACTGTAACAATACATTGGCATATTA